GGGTATAATTCAACCATGAAGACCATGGCTTCTCCTCTGGTGCAATGGATCATAGGTTTATAGAGTTCTCCCAGGAAGGACTTGGAATTCTTTTACATTTCCTTTAAAAAGTAAACTGTCAAAACAGAACCCCAAATCAAAACCCGTGTTTGACTCTGAGTTGGTCAGCACTGACGTCGCCGATCACCAAGAACAAGTGAGTCTTTTCTTGTCCCCTGGAAGAGGAGAAAGAAAAGACCAAAATGGATGTCAGAAGAAACTCTAAATATTGCACTAGAGCGCCGAGAAGTCAAAGCAAAGAGAAGAAATAAAAATATTAAGGAGTTGAACAGAAGATTCAAGAGGGCGCAGGAAGACAAAGTATTACAATGAAATATGCAAGGAGCTGGAGTCAGAAAATCAAAAGGGCCAAACTCGCTCAGCATTTCTTAAGCTGAAGGAACTGAAGAACATATTCAAACCTCAAGTTGCAATACTTAAGGATGCTTTGGGCAAAATATTAAATGATCCAGGAAGAATTAAAAGAAGATAGGAAGACTGTATAGAGTCATTGTCCCAAAAGGAATCGGTGTTCTTGTTTAGGGAATGAAAACCCCTGATGTTTCGGCTCTCCCCTGGGAAGCTGTCACATGTTTGGTTAGGGAACGGTGGGTGTTTGGTTGATATGGTATCAATGTACATGTCTCTTAGAAAAGAAGGGGAAATATTTGCTTATTATACATGCTTGTTGGCCTGATGAATCTCTTTGCCTTCTGCCACCACGCCCAGTGTCCGGAGGAAAGCGGAGCATTTTCCAGTCACAAGCCTTTATAAAGGATTCTCCTCGTCCATACTAAAAATACTGCTACTTAGGGAAGACTCAGGAAAGTCTAAAGTAAAAGTAATTTAAGGATGACATAAAAAAATATTAAGACAGTACCCAGGGATTAGGAACACAATCTGGAGCATCTTAAGCATAGAAATAACACAGAAAAAAGGCAGCATCCTCTGTACACCGTTCTTCAGAGAAGGTACTGTTTGATTGTGTTTCCTCCTCGGCTATTGTTCGGTGGATATACACACGCAGTTTCATCGTACTGTTAGTGGAATATTACACACCACGCACCTCCTCGCCCTCCCCACGTGAGCCCCGTGTGAACGCCGACACAGTTCTCCTCAGCACTCCTCTTTCATGCCATTCACGCGGAGCGAACGGTCGGTGGGGTGCCCTGGACTTTCCTGTTCCCTTTCTTGCCGATATTTCTCGGTTGTGAGGAGCACCACAGACTGAAAACCTCCTCATCCTGTCCTGTGACGATGCAGTTCTCGAGAGGCTGACGAGGAGGACAAAGCCCACTGTCCCGTCCAAATCCAGGAGGACCCTGGAGATGCTTGAATTATCTTTGGGTCACAGTCCTCCCCCTGGGAAGCAGCATGAACAGCTGCAGGTCTCCTCCTCCAGAGGCCCGGCTGTGTGGAAGCAGCCCTCGTGGTGGCAGCTGGGGGGGGGGGTGTCTGTGGAGGTGGCATGGTGCCCCCGGCCCTCTCTCCGCGGCTTTCTGTCAAGCCCGTACAATGAACACCTTGGAAACATTATCTCAGCCATCCTGACAAAGCTTTGCATGTCTGAGAAGTGGTATGTTTGACTTGGCCCAAGACGCTGTCTTTGCTGAGAATGCAAACCCCAGGCCTGTCGGTGCCCCTCCCCACGTGCTGCAGCCTGGCCTCCCTGGCCTCTCCTGGCCTCTTCTGCCTGCCTGGGAAGGGCATGCCATGTTCACCTCACCTCCAGGGCTTGAGTCTCTAAGACGCTGTCAGAATCAGCTCCCATGCCCTGAGAAAGAGCAAAGGCCTGAGGCTGCACCCACAGGTTGTTCCCAGGTCCCCAGGGCACTGGACACCCAGGGTCAGTTACCACGTGCCCAAAGACTCACTGAAGACCCAGGGCAGAGCTGGGCCTGTGGGCAGTGACAGGACACAGGACGCCCAGCACACAGGAACAAGGACAGGGGACCAAGCAGGCCAAGCAGGAAAGCTTTGTGGAGGTTCTGAGAACAGATGCAACGAGAATGGCCAAGGGCCACCCGGCCAGGAGGACAGCCACGCAGATGCGACCACAGCTTGTCTCCGGCCAGGTCAGGAGGACAATGGACAATTTTTTCTCCTTATATTTTCCAGTTTTTCTATTGTGAGCAAATGCTGCTTTTTCTAATCACAAAAAGAACATTCCACAGGCACAATAATGATCTAGGAATAAATAAGTCGAATGAACTATCAAAGTGTTCACACTAAAAACTAGAGCCCACGACAGAAGCCTGTCAGAGAAAGAGGGCCCCGGGTATCCTCACCAAACAGAGTGGTGGATGGTGGTCAGCCTGCACCGGCCGGGGATGGGAAACACTGAGACCTGGGAAAAGTAGGCCGAGCCGGGTGAGCTCCGGCCCTCACGGGCCCCACTGTATCTAGAACAGGAGATGGGAGGAGCAGCGGCGCCCCACGGTTGGCCCAGAGAGGTTCTTCTCTGAAGATGGGGATACAACTGGGTACACGGTGAGAGAAACAGTTTCATGTAGAAAATGAAACTGCAGGAGTCAACCATGCAAAACCGCCCACTGGTGTTACCTAGCCATGGCCCCCCCAGAGGCTAGGTGGGCACAGTGCTTAACACTCAGCTGTTAACAGAAAGGTCCGCGGCTTGAACCCACCAGCGGCTTCGAGGCCGAGAGATGTGGCCACCTGCTTGTGTAACGACCCAGCCTCGGAGGCCCTGTGTGTCCCTGGGGTCCGGCAGAGTTGCCATGAGCCTAAGTCCGCTGTCAGCAATGGGGTTTGGCTTCCTGAACCGGGCACTTTCTCCCATTTGAGACTAGGGAAACTGAGGCTCAGAAGAGTGAAGATAAGAGGCCTAGGGCCTGGCGTCAGCTTCCGGGCCTCTGACCAGCCTCTTCTTGCAGGGAGAGACGTGTGTTTCCTGCCATCCTATTAGTGTATGGCTTGGAGTTTTCCCCCCATTACTGAACGTGGCAGCTGCAGGCCTCCTGGCCCCACACTTGCTGTGACCCCCAGCCTCTGCTTTACAATAATGTCGGCACTGGCCACGGAGCAGAAGACGCACCTCCAGCTGGGGGCTAGGCTGGGCCTGAGTCCCCTTCAGACAGAGTCTGACTTCTCCACACTATGACATGCTCCCCTGGGAAGGGAAACACACGCGGAGGAGGGTGACTTCCCTCCACACCCGCAGGACACCTCCGTCCAGCTGGGTGCCCGGTGGAGACATGACCTGTCAGACCTGCCTCCAGAACCCAGTCGCCAAGGCCCTGCATCCCAATCGTCTCTCTTTGAACCAGGACCACAAGGAGGCCGCTGTCGGCCACTCCAAACAGATAATGTCTATATTTGGATAAAAAAAAATAAATGTACTCAGGGAGAGTTTTTAAATCCAACGGCTTTCAGAACGCACATAAGATGCACCATTTCTCATGCCAAAGTCATCCACTGGGTTAAAATAAATTAGAACAAAATGATGTGAGTTAAGCATACGTCTTCCGTCACCTGTTTTCTGAGGGAAGCGGGGCAGTGTTCCTGCCTCGGCTCCAGCTTCCAGCCTGGCCTTGCCCTCTCTCCACGCTCCCTTCTTTCACATAAAGAGCCCACGACTCTGGCAGCCAACAGACCACTCCGGAAGCCTCCTCGTGGCCAGGCGAGGACCCAACGCTAAGATAATGAGTGGATGCCAGCAACAGGTACCGTGAATAAGTCCGAGCCATTTCCACAAAGAAAGCTGTCTGGTGCTTTGCATTTTCAAGGTATCAGAAGATGCAGCCTCTGAAGAAGGTCGATTTTATTTTCCCTCCCTCTGCTATCAGCTCCACACACAGGGCACAAACCTGCTTCCATGCTTTCAAAGAGAAAAACGCCAAAATGCAGAATTTCTGCACTAAAATTATTTTTAAATAAAGAGACAGAGCGAGGGAGATTGATCTCTGTTCCGCGGAGCTGAGGTGGGCGGTGGGAAATGGTGTGTCTCCTCCAAAAGGCCAAGAATTTAACTGGAAATTACACAAACTCCTCCGAGGCGGTGGAATCGAGGAAGGAGACGTTTTCATTTTAACTGCTTAGATAGCAGAAGCTGACCGGGACCCCGGCTTAGAGCCAGCCGCCCCGACAGGACTGAACACATGACTAATTTATTTTCTCTTCTCCTTCCATCCAGGCACAGAATTAAAATATTTATATCAGTCTGTTCACTTGATAACATGCAGCCCAGGCGCCAGCGTCAGGGCCACTCCCTAATTTTTCACAGTTTGGGCTTTTCCCATTGTTCCCCCAAATGCACAGCCCCGGGCTTGGGGACACTCTCGGGTCCTGACGCGGTCGTTGCGCACCGGGCCCTGCACGCGGATTCTAACCGGGAAGAAGCCCTCGGCGCCGCAGCGCCCCGGCCGGGAAGGCGCCCTCGCCGAGCTCTGGCTTCCTTCCCCAGGGACGCCCAGAAGCCGGGGGCGCAGCGCGGTTTCCAGAGCGGCGGCCTCGGCCGGGGCGCCTGGGCGCGCATGGCCCGCTGCGGGATGGCCGGCCGCGGAGGGCGGGCAGCAGGGGGTTAACGCGAGCCGGGAAGTCGGGGCTCGCGCGCCCAGGCCGCTCGCTCGCGGACACTGGGGCTCTGTGGCCGGGCCCGCGCCGCTGGGCACTGTGACTAAGCGCCCGCTATTGTGCGCCTGGAGCCAGCCCATTGTGCGCCCTCTCCGCCGCCGGGAACCCCTCGTCAGCCGGCCGGGGCCGGGTCCTGGAAGCGTGTAGGACAGAGGAGGCCCACGGGCGACGACACTCATTCCTTCCTCTACAGGGATGCAGGAAGCCTGGTCACCCCAAGAAGCGCCCTTTTCCCTGGGGGCCACCAACAGAAGCAGCTCTGGGGGTGTCCACACACCAGGTAACCAGGCCTTGCCCCCTAAGGAGCCCTGCACCCTGCGGACAGCTGAGCCCTGGAAATGCAGGCTACCAGCTGGGGTGTGCTTACCATGCACCGGGCACTCCAGACCTCAGACCTACCGGATAACGTCAAGGGAGCATTAATAATTTCACATCGAGTACACATTAAAGTGGTACGATTTCAGGTATATCTATTTAAGAAGAAGGTGAGATGAGCCACAGAAATAAAGACACCCCTAACCCCAACTCCTAGCGACCCGGTATGTTGTGTAGAACTGCCACAGAGTTTCCAAGACTAATCTTTATGTCAATAGATGACCTCATTTTTCTCCTCAGCCACAACTGGTGGGTTTGAACCACCAACCTTTTGGTTCACAGCCAAGCACTTTAATCATCACTCTAGCAAAGCTTCCCCTTATTTTCGCTCTAAATAAGAGTAAATATTACTGAAGTCCTTCTCACAGGCTTTGTCCTACCGTTTTGAACATGGCTACTATCTTACAGATGTGCCTGGTATTTCAGCCTAAGATATACTTTTACTGCATGGTGCTGGGTCTTTCTGTGTGGCCAAGATGGGCTGGAATATGGTCTCCTTCCAGGGACCAAATGGGTGGACGATGTGGCTCTGCCTGTCTGCCTAGTAAGAGCCGTGAGTGAAGAAACACAGGGCCTGCTTTCCACACCATCACCGGATCGCCACCCATGTTCATCTGTGGGGAAGGGGGACTTGAACACTTGGTGACAGGCATTTCCAGCATTCATACGGGTGCTCACACACACTCGAGGTCCTGGACCCTGTCCACAGCAGGCCGTGTCAGCGCGCGCCCACAGAGCTCACAGGCACCACATGGCCCCAAAGGCCCCTTGGCCCCTTTGTCCCTGGACCAACCAACTAGCCAGCCAAGATCAGCTCAGGACTTGTCCTGCCCACGGCATCCCTACCTTCATGGTGTCTTCCTCCATAAAGAAGAAGACATTCGGTATACTTACTATAATATTATAATGATATTTTTAATGTCATTAAAATGATCTTTTAATTAAAATTGCATTATAACATAATTTTAAATACAAAAAACAATTTGGCAGAAACACCAGTGTAATCCACCCTGAATTCATTACTATATACTCATTATTATTGTCCATATTTTTTTCTTCTGATTTTAAAAGAAGGAAAATTAAATTGTTTTCACCGCTCTAGGCACGTCCCTTGTAGGGGTGAGCTCTGGGGTCCCTGAGGGCCATGCCTGCCTGTGTCCTGCCATCTGGTCCAGCAATCAGGGACCTGGGTCCTCCTTGGTACTGCCCAGAATGGGGTGCCCACTTTGATGCTGAAACCATAGTATGTTGTTTGCAAAGCACGAAAAGTGGCTACAAAGACCACTCGGACCCCCTTGTGCCCACAGACCTCTGAGCAGTGGGACCCTGGGCTCACTCCTGGGGTCCTTGCCGGTGCAGGCTCCCCACTCAGCACCCAGGACGAGCTGCTGCAAGAACTAGTGCAGCCGGGACCCCTGGGACGACCCCTAGGCCTGGGGGGCTCTCCCGCACTGTGATCCCAGGCCAGCAGGGGCTGTGGCCACGGTGGCCCCGCCTGGCTCCATGGTGGACTCTGCGTCTCTCCAGGGTGCCACGGTGTAGGCCTGGGCCCTTCCGCGGAGAACCCGTGCAGGAGACGGTTAAAATTCTGCATCTTTTTTGCATCCGCCTCCAGAGGAAGCGCTGCCTTTCCCCCCCCCTCCCCTCCCGAAGAGCGAGGGGGGAGCTGAGAGCAGCGAATTTGCAGGCCTTGGGGTGTTTTTCTCCTTGACAGCCCGGCCTTTCTCGCCTGTGCCCTGGCCCTCCCTTTATGCTCGGCCTCTATCCTCTATCGGCGCCAGCGCTGATGGTCCCTGCGCTCACGCGAGTGCCCCCGGAGCCTCGGGCCGCGGCCTGGAGGGGGGCCCCGTGGGGACAGCGGTCCCCACCTCAGCCCGGCCTCCTCTCCTGGCACTGCCCGCCTTTGTGCCCGCCTCCCCGGCCGGCCCCGCAGGCCTGCTCCTCGCCCAGGGGGCACCCACCCTGCGCCCACCCGGGCTGCCCTCACCTGGTGGGCACCCGGCCTCCTGGCCTCGGGTCCTGCTCGCGCCCGGGGCGCCTGGCCACATCCTCGGCGCCTCTGCCGCGCGCCCCACCCTGCCGCCCGCGCGCTGCAGCGAGCCTGGCACTGTGCCAGCTGCCTGGGAGCCCAGCCCCGGCGGGGAGAACTTTCCAGCGAAGGGGGGTGTGTGAGGGGGTGCAGGGGTGAGGGTGGTGCCAGGGGAGGGACAGGGCCCCAGATGCCCGGCGGCCGCCCCCAGCCCCCGGCCGGCCTGCGGGGGGCCTCCCCCTGCCTCCCTGTCTCCTGGGCCCCATAAAGGCGCAGACAGCACAGTGGTTTAGTGAAACCGGTCATGTGCAGGAGCCGCCAAACAAACAAAAGCCCTTATTTATTTATCTAGTTCACACACCGAGATAAGGAGAAGCCTTTTGTGCACATAATTTCACACAGATCAGAAAGGAGGCGAGGCCATGGTGCTCCCCGCAGCCCCGGAGCCCCGGACAGCCGGCCTGGCCTCATGAATAATTGCATCGCTGAACTGGGCATTTCCATATTTAAATTGGGCAGCAGCGTATGATTAATTAAGAGGGAAAAAGGCAAAAAGGAAGACGAGGGATGGGGGCAGGGAGCTGGACACTCTGGGCCGCGTGGCGTGCCAAGGTGCCCGATGCCACAGCTTAACTCCTGCCATGCCAGGCCTGGTCTAGGGGGTAGAAGCCTGAGGCCTCAGAGAGCCTGACGCTGGGCGCTTGCCCTCACCTGCCTCAGTGGACTCGGTGCCACTCAGCTAAAAATGCTACCCCAGCAAAGTCCTCAGAGTCATCACAACTACACAGGCTAAAACCTGGGCTGGGGTACAGAGACACCCCAAATTCCTGGCAGGCCATCTTGGAATTGTTGCTGCCGTTGACAGACAATCCTTTGCCGCGTGCCTTCACCAGAGCCTGTCCAAGCTCAGCCTAGCTGTCCCGGAGAGGTGTCCAGGCCCCTGTGCTCCCCAAGCCAGAGCCCCCTCATCAGGACCAGGGTGGGGAGCTCCTGGACTTAGGGGCCGGAGGAGGAGTGGGCTGAGAGCAGCACCAGGATTCAGGGTCTGCCCACCACCCAGGCTCCTCTCTGTCCGCTGCCTATTTATGGCCATGTACTGGGGATCTGGCATCTCTGAAAGAGGTTCACTCTGTTCTCTCACCTGGGGAATAGGAATGACAAAGGTGCCAACTGCACCTACTGCAAGGAATTGGGGGACCCCAAGTCCCTATTGCTGTCTGAGCTCATAGTGAGTGAAGGTCAGAGGCCAAGGGGTCTCCAGGGGGAAGGACCTGCCTCCAGGAACAAATCCAGACTGTTCTAGAACATTTCAGCTCTAGTCCTACTGAGGCCCTGGGACCCATACTCTCTCCTTAGAGTTGACTTTGGCTCAGGACCGGCTAGAAGTGCCCTGGAAGGTTTTCAAGGCTGTAAATCTACAAGGGTGGATGGTCTCATCTTGTTCTTGTCAAGCACCTGGTGGATACAAACTGCCAAGCTTTCAGTTGGCATTCCAGCATGTAATCCACTGTACCACCAGGGCCTTGTGAGGCCCTAGGACAGTGGTCTGCAGTTTGCTGAGGGGACAGACAGGCGTGTCCTCAGGGCCCCCAGGTCTGACTCAGTCTAGGCGTCCACTTGGTCCCGGGTTAGTCAGGGGTAGGTGATAGAGGGCTCTCAGTACTGTTACTATCATACTCATTTCACACATGGGGAAAGCCGGGCAGACAGACTGAAAATGTATCCAGGAGCGCCTCAAAGTGGAGGAACCAGGATTCAAACCCAGGACATTCACTGTTACACTGTGCAGTAGGCTGGCCCAGTTCAGGGTAAAAATTCCGGTGGGCAACATTCTTTCCAAAGAGACAAGCATGCAGATCCCACACTGGGGTCCAGAAATGCTGCAAGATGGGTACAACTGTGGGGAGACTCACAGGTGAGGGGCAGCTGGAAGGCTGATGGGTGGAGGGCACAGAGGAGGGAGACTCACGAAAAGGAAGCCCCACGTCGGAGACTCGTAAGTGGGAGGCCTGTGGGTGAGGGGCACACAGAAGAGGGCCGGAAGATGGGGGTACCTCGTAAGAGGGGAGCCCTGCAGGTGGAGGGTGCTGAGACCTCAGAGGACCTCTGCTCCAGAAATCCTGCACAAGTGGGGGTGGGCTGCAAGAAAGGGGCTCAAAGTAAGAGGACACCTAAATAGGAGGAGGGGGCCACAAGAAGAGGGCTCACAGGTAGAGAGCCCATCAGAAGGGGACCTGCGGCTGTGGGAACTCTGCAGGAGAGGAGGGCCTGCAGGAAGGAGGCCCACAGGTGAGGAAGCCGTAGAAGAGCATGGTCCCAAGTGAAGAGGCTGCAGCAGGCAAATGGAACTCAGAGCAGAGAGCTCCCTCTCCCAGACAGCTGTGTGTCTCTGGGAAGGTGGATCTCCTTCTCTGCCCAATTTCTCCATCTTTACACTTCCTCTGGCTATGGGTGTGGCCCTCACAGGATGGTGGGGAGAGGGTGTCTGTATGAGAAGACCAGCCTAGCCTGGGATCCTGCTGGGCTTCTGTGGTCTCAGTTTGTCCAGACCCTTCCAGGGGTGACCTTGTGCAGGCCTGATACTAGGCTCACAGTAGGAGGAGCGAGAGAAGGAAAGACAAGCATTTCTTCTGCCACTGCTGCCTTTGCAGCCCGAGCCAAGGAGCGCAGGAGGCCCTAGACAAGGAGTGCAGGAGGCCCTAGACAAGGAGTGCAGGAGGCCCTAGATGCTGGAGAAGACAACACTTTTCCCTGGGGCCTCCAGGAGAGGCCAGGCCTGGAACACGTGGACTTTAGCAAGACCTGTGTTACGACAAATCTGTGTGGTTTAGGCCACTAAGTGTGTGGTCATTGTCATGGCAATCAGGATGACCAGAAGCCAGCGCCTCCTGCAGCACACCAGGATGCCGCCAAAGAGGAGGACGTGTGGGGCACTGCCTGTGGCCTCGCTCACGTCACACGCATTGTTCATCTGCTGTGGTCAGCGTTGGGCTAGCCATGCAAGGGCAGCACACCCCATCCCACCCTTGGAAGTCCTTGACGAGATGGCATGGCAGATGTCCCAAGGAGCCTTCCTCTTTTGAAGGGCCTCCAGCCTCGCCTCCTGCTGCTACCCTGCTCCCCCTCCCCCTCCTTCTCTTCATTCTTCCTCCTTTCCTTACTCCTCCTCCTGTGTCTTCTCCTGGTCCTTCTTCTTCCTCCCCCTTGCCCACATTTCTGCAGGGTTGCCTGAGATTGAGCACAGGTCAAGTGTTCTCCAATTCCAGTTCAAAGCACAGCAATTGAAATATCTGTCACACACGTTACTGTGGTTAAGTGCCAACAAGCTATGACTCATGGTGACCTGTTAGGAACAGCAGGAGACGTGCCCCACCCTGCTCCTGCCTCTTGAGCTCCACCATGTTCAAGTCCACTGCTGCAGTCACTGTCAACCCATCTACTTGAGGGTCTTCCCCTTCCACTGACTCTCGGATTTTCCCAGTTATTGTTGTGGTTGTTATGTGCCGTCGAGTCGTTTCCGACTCACAGCGACCCTGTGCACAACAGCACTAAACCCTGCTCTATCCCGCGCCAACCGCACCGCCTCTGACACACCCATCCCGATTACCCCAGTCACCGAATCAATCCATCTCATAGAGGGTCTTCCCCTCCTGCGTTGTCCCTCAACCCTCCCAAGCATGATGTCCCTCTCCAAGGACCCGTCCCTCCTGGCAACATGTCCAAAGTATGTCAGACGAAGCCCCAGAATCCTTGCCTCCAAGGAGTAGCTTCGTTTAATCCTCTCCAAGATAAATCTGTTTGTTTTCCTGGCAGCCCAGGGTACATTCAGTACCCTTCTCCAGCACCACAGCTCAAAAGCATCCACTCTCCTTCTGTCCTCCCTAGTCATTGTCCAACTCTCTGATGCATAACAAGTGATTGCACCTTAGTCTCCAGAGAGACACTGTTGCTCCTGAGTACTTTAGAGAGGTCCCTAACAGCAGACTTTCCCATCGCGATACGCTTTTTGATTTCCTGACTGCTGGTGCCAAGAGTGTTGACTGTGGAGCCGAGCAAACTGAAGCTGTGAACACTCTCAATCTCTTCGTCATCCATCCTGACGCTGCTAATTGGTCCAGTGGCGAGAATCTTTGTCTTCTTGACATTGAGCCTTAGTCCATACCGAAGGCTGCAGTCCTTGACCCTTCGCAGCAAGTGCATGAGGTCCTCCTCAGTTTCAGCAAGCAGGGTTGTGTCATCTGCATAACGGAGATTGTTAATAGATCTTCCACCAATCCTGATGCCACAATTCTCCTCATAGAGCCCAGCCTCTCGGATAATCTGCTCTGCATACATGTTGAAAAGGTATGGAGACAGGATGCATCCCTGGCGTACACCCTTCCCAATTTCCCAGTAGGTTGTTTTTTTCCAAGGGCTGGGCCCTGCTGAAAACACACCCCGAGCATGTGAGGCCATTTTTCACTATCCTTGTCTCTCCAGAGCACCCTGGTGACCCTTCCTCCAAGACAGACTTGTTTGTCTTTTGGAAGTCCGCAGGATGTTACTCTTGTCCAACATCACAATTCAAACTCTCCTTCAGTCTTTTCTAGTGATTGTCACACTCTCAGATGCATACAAAGCAATTGAAAGTACCATGACTTGGATTTGATGCACCTTAATCTTTACATTTGCATCCTTGCTCTCTAGCACGTTAAAGAGGTCTTTACCAGCAGATTTCCCCAACATGACATGTCTTTTGATTTCAGGCTGCTGCTACCCCGGGTGTTGATTGTGGACATTCCTGATGCAGTGCACCTTGATGTTGTGATGCATCCATTGTGATGTTGTGCAGTGGTCCAGTGTTCCTATTTTCTTGATGTTGAGATGTAACCCATGTTGAAAGCTGGAGTCCTTGAGCTTCTGCAGCAAGCATTTTAAGTCCCTCTCACTTTGAGCATGCAAGGTAGTGACAGCTGCATAATGTAAGTTGCCGATGAGTCGTCTTCCAATCTTGATGTCACTTTCTTCTTCATAAAGTCCAGCTTCTCAAGTTATTTCCTCAGCATACAGATTGAATAGATATGGAAAAAGGATGCAGCCCTGATGCACACCTTGCCTGATTTTAAGACGTGCAGTGCTTTCTGTTAAGCCTGTGTGACATTTTGGCACACGTGGGACCC